TGTGTTAACATTTTTAAGACATTAAGATTGATTTAAGACATTTTAAGGTTAATTAAGGCCTTATTTTTGGATTGACAAATTCAATGCCTTTTAAGACTTTTTAAGGATCCACGGGAACCTTGTAGTAGCTTTCTTTGACACATCTGTTATTCAAGCTCTTCAACAAATCATCCCTGCTTGTCAAGCAAAACAATTTAACCACAATCCTAAAAGATCAAGAAAAAGAAATAAAATGATATTTCTCCTAAGGAGACATGTACARGACAAACCAACTCAACTTCTAATCTAGTTCCTAACCTGTTTTTGAGTTGCCTGAACCTTTTAATATCTCCACTTTATAAGCCATTACGAGATCTGAGAAAATATAAAAAGAAAGGAAGGAAAATTTAGGTGGTGTCTGGAGGTCTGAGTAAAACAGCGACAGAGGCCAATGAGCAAGAGACGAGGACTGCTGTAATTATTCAARGTACCACAAACCGGCTGTCTCACGTCATTTTAACTGGGTGGTGAGAGCTGCAAAGGAAGACATAACCCCAATTTTGGCTGTGTCCTTGGAGAAGAGGACAGGGAGTTCTCTTGTTTTTATCCAGATGACTAGATGAGGAAGAACAAGTGCAGATTTGCATACAGAAGATGAAGTGACTCATCTCTTCCTCARTGAAAACATTCGTATTTTATGTACAAAATGTCCAGAATGCTTCCTATAATGCAACAGCTGTCATAAGAGCTGCTTACAAATTTTACTTAATAAAATGGTACTCTTTGGAAGACTTTAAACTCAACAACTGCTTAATAACATTTATCTTAACACTAACAACAGGTGCTGAGGATAAGCAGTYTTTGAGAAAACACTAATGTCAAAAGACTTCTCATAATCACATCTAACCTGCACTATAGTGAAAAGTACATTAATAAAGTATTTATTAATGAACTCTTTGGTAATGTTCAAACTCAGTGTTCAGGAGATATCCCATTACATTTTGAATAAGAACCCCAGAAAGCAACAACACTCTGCATCACTTTCATTAGTGTGAAATGTTTGCACCATCTGCAGCCCTCTGCACCAAAGGAATACCTCTAACACATCCTAATTAGTTGAAATTTGATGTCAATAAGTGCAAATTAGGTCTCAGTTACAAATGCTATGAAAGCTAAGAATACATAGCCAAAACCTGTCAGTTAATATGAGAAATAGTAACACTTTGTTGAGATGATTCTGCATATTTTTTCCATAAACTGAGGTACAACTCTGAATGTTTGCAGTATTTACAGCACSAGCTAAGAGTCTGGCTTGTTAAAGCAGGTCTCAGTGCCAGTGCAGACCATGGCATGAGCTTGGTCCACTTTATTTTACAACCCATTTTAATGTTCAGCTGTCTGCTTATCAAAACAGTGTGATCACAGCTTTAGAAAAAAAAGTGTCATAACAGAAGAGAGACACATGACACTTGGGCTGTAATGTGAAACACAACAAAAAGTTGAAAGAGAAGTTTTCATCAGCTAACAATGAGTGATTACCAAAACCCAACAAAGAACTCACTCCAACAATCAAACAAACCAAATTAAGTGATGCCATTGCAGCCTGGGCATCAGAATGAAATGTGACTCACAAAGGGAAAGGATATCACAAAGTGGGTAGGCGGGAGGATCAAAACGGCATTTTGAAGCACGAGAAATAAAATAAATAAATAAAAAACCTCTGGCATCACGTCGTAAGAATGTCAGCAATGAGCTTACAGACCACAACCCAGCGCATAAGAGTCAGAATCACAACCAGACCTATAGCTGCACAAAAGTAAAACGAGAAGATTGCTGTGGAACGCCTAAACGAGACAAATGGTCCTACAGGACTTTCAATGAGCATCTTCAATCTGCATTATATGACGCAATCCCACGAATGGTTCTGAAACTCTTCTGTGGAGCCAAAACTTTCTCCTGAAGCGGGGAAAAAAAGTGAGTGGGAAAAACATTTTCGCAGAGGAAATAGAGAGAGCCAGAGCAAAAAGGACAGACAGAAATTGTTGAACATAAGGAGACGTGTTTTACTGCATACTTTGGGTTGGGTCACTACAAGTACAGAGCAGACATAAAACAAATCTGTACTGGAATGACCCGAGTTGTGGGGAGAACGGGGCAACAATGGAAACACATGGCCTTTTGATTCACACATACACACATCTAAAGCTCCCAATACCAGCAAAAAAAGAAAGAAAGAAAAAAAGAAAGGAAAAATATTAGTAAAACCTGGGATAAAGCGATACATTGGAATAATATAATAAACACCATATGATTATGACTGCAGGCAATAGATGTTCAGGGGAGACCAGAGATAATAGACAAAAGGAGACAATGTGGGCCAAACAACAACAAAGTGACTGTGTAATGCAGCTAAACAAGTGGTTGAGCAGACTAGTCCTGTCCTGTCTTTACTTCACTTTCATTCTCCCTCCCACAGCCTCCACGGGTCTATCTCATGCTCTTTTCCTACGATCACAGGGAGCAAGTTTCAGCAGCCGTAATAGCACATGACAAGGTGACCTGTGCCCCACACAGGATGGGCTAAACTGGGGTGGAGAGGATGGGGGGGCGGGGGGTCTCATATCCCATGTCCAGCCCTCTACGTTCTCTATAGCCCTCCCCTCCCCACAACACCCAGGCCCCACTGCTGGCCAGCAAGGGGAAAGGGAGGCAGTAACGGCAAGCTGCCCCTTTATGCTGGGCCCCTTGCTGGACTCTAGAGAGGGGAAAGAGACAAGGCAGGGAGAGGCCCACTCAAATGCTCGCACCAAAAGTCCTGTTTGTGTCTACGCTGAATTTGATGAAGAATGCACATTCTGTAATACACAAAGTTACGAACACAGACAGAACAGGACAGACACACAGACATGTGGCAAGTTGGGGAAGAAGCATTTAGCCCAAAAGTCAAGGTGGACAATGCAAATTCTCCGGAGGTACTTTCATTAATAGTAAACTATAAGGTTTCTTTAAACACAAGCCACTCTCATGAAAATTATACCTTTAGTCTCAATGAAATGATCTGTAAAGCAATTAAAAACAGAAATCCAATCATATGTTAAATTTAATAAGGGTACCTATCACTCAAACTGAGTAGGTTGATTTCTATGTTTTTTTTTCCTGCTGTTAACAAATGTTATCTGTGTGATTCATTCTGGTTGAACACTTTCAACCACTGGAGGTAATTAAGGACTTGAAAAGATTAGAAAGAATTTAACACATCATTAACTTTACAGAAACCGAACAAATACGTAAAACAACACGTGTGCACAGATGTGCATTAAAGGGGGTCTTTACAGTCAAAACAGCAGCCTTMAAGTTAGATCACATGCAGGAGGAAACAACCAATTACTGTAGTCAKAGGAAAGTGTGTGAGCATGTTGGAGGGATTTGCAGTAAATATTAACTGTAATGGATTGTGTCATCATCGGTTTGCAGCTCTGTAAACAACCTACAACAGCTGGGCTAAAAAGAAAAAAAATCAAAGTCCTTAGAAGCAAATTTCAACTACGAGTTTCACTCAAAATTTACTGTAAATTACTTTACCCTAAAACCTCACTTAGTCTTGACTGCAATGAGTTTAAATGCTGATCCTAATAGGGCATTTTCAAAGCAATGTCAGCGTTTRACCAGTTTACCTGTGACCTGGAKGAGTTAGGCTCCACTAGCACTCATATGAAATGGTCTATTTTTGCAAACATTTTGCTAATATATATTAGCTGAAAGAGTCAATAAAATCTTTCATTTAATTAAATATATACCCACTTCTATATAGWTATTTTAATGAGAGGATTAACTCATATCTCATTAAAATAACTATATAGAAGTGGGTTTATATTTAAATTAGATTTTATTGACTCTTTCAGCTAATAATTATTGAATGTACAGCTGCTAATTAACATGGAGAGCTCACTCAATTCAGGTTGGCCACCACAACAAACGGACCACAGAAAACACAAAAATAACTGTCGTTCAGTCAATTTTGCATAGATTTAGTCAAAACCTTGGCATGGCTGCAGCTGAGAATCATTCACAACACACACTCTAAATATGAGATTTCAGGACATCCCATGAGATTATGCAGCTATAACTCTGACATCGCTCTCCTTTATTTTGTGTTTAAAAACCGACAGGTGTAAAAACAGAATAGATACAACTCAAACTTTTCTGGAGAAAAAAATTCCAACTGTTATTAAACATTTCCAAATTCAAACCAAAGTTTAAAAAAAATAAATACAAAACAATATATATGCTCTGTCACACAATAATGTTTTATGCAACTTGGATGGAATAAACAAAAAACCTACTGGATGTCTCTTTTGGATGTAAGCATACTTTAATGCTAATGATTAGATCTAATTTATAACCTATATGAGTAATTTAGTCAAAACAACATGTTACAAATGGTCATAAGTTGTACAAAATGTTAGTGTGACAGAGCCTTATGTTTGACGTTTGATGACTTACCTGCTAATAKAACACTAGTACCGGTACATGATGGACCAGCAAAAACAACCAAATATCTGCACTAAAATGTGATCTAGGATTTCTTCAGAAAGAGAAAACACACCCACACACGTTTTGAGGGGGGAAAATGTATTCTATAATCCACTTGCAGCTTATTTAAAATCATGAGTTAAGAACAGAAATAATCCTGAAATTGAAAATGAATGTTAATACTTGGATCTGAACAGAACAATCCCTCATAACTAAATGGATTAGAGGAGAAATGTTTCAGCTGAAGTTTGAAGATTTTACTGCTGATTGTTGGGCCTAACAGTGTCAAAACTTAATTTTCGTTTCATCTTCACGTTGCATGAGTAAACTAAACTTATTTATAAAAGTAATGTTCAGAGGACGTGACCCCTCACAGTTTGTACCAACAATCAACATAAAGTTAAGTTACACATTTGATAACGTTAATAAGTGACTTCAGAGTTTCACAACAAGCAGGTCCGATTTGCTAAGAAAGAAAACTAGCTTACCTGGAGTTTCAGCATGTCCTTGCACAATATAAGAGTTAAAACCTTTCTTCAGTTTTCCCCAGGTTGGTAATCCTGTTAAATAGAAGAGAAAAAAAAGGCAAAAATGGTATGTCGCAAGTCACTGAGTGTGTCTTTACCCTCGGACCTGACCTGCAGTTGCTCTGTTTATGTAACACTGAACTATTTTCAACAGCAACACACACTACGAAGTAATCTTTGCAGCAGTCAGGCGAATGCGTAGTTAAACACTCCGATAAAACATTAGTTAATCTGTGTTTGATGTGTTTATTTTAGCTTCTTGAGTAAGAAACATCTCAGTGTTTTAAATCACGACTTTTGCATTCCTCCAGTGGCTGCGAGTTTCATACCTCAGCTCAACTTTTCTCCATGAAGACAGGCTCGAGTTAGCTTTTTAAATCCTCTAGCAGTCGTTGGTCGTCGTCTTCATCGTGGTCGAAAGTGCGTCTCCGTCATCGTATTTGCCCCCCAAGTGAAGCGCAGGTTATCTTAGGACAGACGGCCGCGCTGCGCTAATATCAGAACTAAATGTGCGAAGACTTGGGAGACAAAACGTTCGACTCGTACGCGCTTACGCACACATTCACACATACAGCATCGGTCGTAGTAGCTAGCGTTAGCGTGGCTAGCTTTCTGCTTTAACCCTAAACGCGGCGCCAAGTTCTGCGGCCGCGAGCCACGAACGCAAAGTCGAAGAACGCACGCGAGGGTCTCATACGGCCAAAAGTGCTCGCTAGCACGCAGAAAACTCAAGCGAACCTACAGCAGTCCGACGAAAAATTGGCTATAAGCTTCCTTTTTCGAGACCCAAATAGATAGCCATTACTTTTTTTTGTTATGCACCGCCCCCCTCCTCCCTTGGTTGTCTCCAGGAAAAAGGGATTTCCCTTCAGCCCCCACGATAACCAATCACAGCTGAGTCTCGCGTTTGTCCTGCATTCTGATTGGATACGGCTGAGTCAAGCTCTGATCTGTTTGGTCTGCCCTGGTGCTCATCACGGCGTGACCGCCCACTCAAACAGGGGTGTGTCGTGACGTCAGAGGTAACGAAGAGGTAAACAACTTTGACCGCGTGAGGCTTAAAGCAACCTCGTTTTTACCGCTGATCTCGGAACCAGCGGAGACCCCGTCGCAGGGATCATCACCGTGCCCACGTTACATGCGGCATGGGTGTCTCACTAAGTGGAAACCACTTCCCCGAGGCCTGGTTCCCACCCTCCCCCTCTTTGCACCAGTCCGGAGACTCTTTGTTCGCATGTGCGGTCGCATCATACATTTTAAAAAGCTGAAAAAGCTGCACTCGATATTACACGATAGCAACTTTATGACCAGCTAGGTGAAAGATAAAGCATTTGATTTAATCTCTTTTGCTGAATGTTTCCTTTGACGTTCTTTAGACGTGTGCAGCGAGGTGTGCGTATCTGAGGGGTGTGTTTGCTCTGCAGTACCCTGGTAGGCTGGAAGAAAGCGATGGCGTTACATGTGAGTTGCATGACAAACCTAATTATCCTCACAATAGACCACTGAACCAATTCTTCACCAAATAGGAAGGAAACGCCCTTAATTAGATTAATTTCTCTGTCCATCAGCTCAGTAATTTGGATGTGATCATTGATTGTTATGCGCACATACTAGTAAGGTGGTTAAAATGGTGGTGTGTGTTTGTGTGRGTGTAGGCGACAGCTCATTCAGTGGTGCAAACAGAGAAAGTGCTTCCTCATAAGTCATCGGTCCTCATTTATTTATTCTATCAAGCGTTTGTACATATTTTTTTCACTTAAGGTCATATCACAGCCTGTTATCTGTAAATTTAGACAGACATTTTTTTAGTTAAKCTGAAGCCACATAGGGGAAAAAAGTGCAATTATGAGCTAGTACAGATCTGCTTGCTTTGCTTCTTGGTCAGTCACARTATATGCTGAGTGTAAATGTTTTAACAGTGCAACTTGTATTATAATCTTGGTTAGTTCAGTTTGTTTAACTGTCATCTTAAAACATACCTATTTGATTTTATTTTTCTTGATGAAAGGGGAATGCATCATGCAGGTAAATGCACTCTTTCCGTCCAATGTTAAAAATATTTAGATAAAATTAAAATGATCGTGCATATCACTTCGTTGTCCCTGCTTGATCCTTTTTTTATTTTTACATTTTTTTTTGTAAGTTAACAATTTTGTTTTATTTTAGCCGTTCATATGTCAAAATGTTTAGTTCATTCAGGAGATGGATACCTTTTTTTCTGTAACTATTAAAGTTTTCAAAATCTTTTACTTTATTAAAAAATACCTCCATGGAATTACACTGAGATGTCAAAATCCCTCCTGCATATTGCCCAATTTAAAATCATCTTATCTGCTCTATTGTTGTATTCTTYTGGTACTTTCTGCATTTAGCTAATCTTTTGCAATATTTAGCTATTATTTTACTACTTTTGAATAGCCTTTTGTGATATTTTGCTTTTAATAGTGTTTTATTCCTTTTATCGTTCTGCTGAACGATATGTGGCCTTTAGTTAGCTTTTTTGGCAACATCTAGCTTTTAGCTAGTTTTTTTTTTACTTTTACTGATCTGCTTCTTTTATTTAGTATTTTTCTTGTTTTAGCAAACATTTTGCTACGTTAAAATTTTAGCTAGTATTTGACTACATGTGCACTATATTTAGCTTTCAGTTAGTGTTTTGCTTGTTTAAGCTACTGTTTAGTTACATGTAGCTTTTAGCAAGTGTTCTACTTTTAGCCAGCATTTTGCTTTTAGCTACCACTTTAGCTACTTTTAGCAAGCATTCAGCTTCTTTTGACTTTTAGCTATTGGTTTGCTCCTTTTAGCTAGTGTTTGGCTCATTTTAGTTTTAACAACTCTGTTTCAGCTCTCTTTCCAACAAACTTTTTTAGCATTTCCCCTTCATGTTWCTTGTATGCAAATGTATCTATTGTTGTTTCTTGTATCTTTTTGAGAGAAATACTTGTTCATTTTTGCACAAACTCACACACAATTTGGCGTAAAAATGCAAAACTTGAGTTTTAAATAGTACCATACCATCCCATACCATACCATACCATACCATCCCATCCCATCCCATACCATACCATACCATACCATACC